GAGAAAGTTTTAACAGAAAATATACGAGAAATTTAACTTTCAGAGCTGTACATAGGCCGGGGCGTGTAGAAATCCCGTTTTTACCAATACCGGAACCACTGGATGTTATTTTAAATAAAGCGCGTGAGAAGCCGAAGTTGCCTGATCCTTTCTGGGGGGAGGGGGTCGGGGCGGGGGGTCCTGACCATGGGTTCAACCAAGGACAGTGTGGTGCTGCTCTGGAGCTTGGGTGTCCCCCCCATATCCCCTCACCCCAATATCTCCAGGGAACGTGTCGGGTGTTGGTGTCCCCCCATATCCCCTTACCCCAATCTCTCCAGGGAAGGTCTCGGGTGTTGGTGTCCCCCCCATATTCCCTCACCCCAATATCTCCAGGGAAGGTCCCTGTCCCCCCAGATTGGGGTCCTTGCCGTGTAGCCCCCCCAAAGTCAGTGACCCTCCCCAGGGTTACCCCGAGGTGTATCCCCATCCCACATCGTGTGTCGTTCCCCCACCCCTTCCCTATCCCCATGTCCGCGTTCCCCCTCCCCTGAGGCATCCCGAGATGTGTCCCCAAACCCCCGGGGACCCCCACGAGTGGGTGACATCCCCTCCCCTCCACCGTGACCCGGAGTTCGGAGCACCCAGCGGTGCTGGCGGAACGGGGACCCGGGATCGATCAGAAACCGTCCCGAAACTCAACGGAAGTCGCCTCAGAAACCGGGCGGAAGTGGCCTCAGAAACCGGGCGGAAGCCGCCTCAGAAATCGGGCGGAAGTGGCCTCAGAAACCGGGCGGTGGCGTCGGGAACCGGGCGGAAGTGGATCTTGAAGCCGGGAGGAAGCGGGAGCGGGAACGGGGCTAACCCGGGGCCAAAAGCCGGGCGGAAGTGGGGCAGCGGCGCCTCGGGACGGAGCGGGGCCCATGGAGGTTATAGGGGGACAGCAGGGTCGGGGGTGGGGCTCGGGGGAACGGGGGACCGGGGGGTACGGCCAGGTCTGACCCGATCCGTGTCTGTCCGCAGGATCCCGGCCCCGACCCTGACCCCGGCTCCGGCCCCGGCCCCGGCCCCGGCCCGGCCGCCGAGAGCCCGGCGGAGCTGAGCTCGCCGGGGCTGGAAGGTGATTCCGAGGGAGGTGTGGGAGGTCCCGGGGTGCGGTGATTTGGGTATCCCAAGGGCTGCAGCTTGTGGGGTACTCCTGTCCCGGAGTTTGGGGTGTCCCAAACTGAGCTGGGTGTCGCAGGATTTGGGATGTCTCCTATTTGGGATGCCCCATGAGTGGAGAGGTTGGGAATATCCCGGAGTTTGGGATGTGATAAAGCCCTAAAATGTGTGTCCCGGGATTGGGGGTGAAACGGGACTTGGGGCGTTCCAGGGTTTGGGGTGTCCCAGGTATTGGTGTATCCGGTTTTTGGGGTTTCATAGGATTTGGGGTGTTCGGAATTTGGGATGTCCCGGGATGGGGGTGCCACAGGATTTGGGGTGTCCGGCATTTGGGATGCCACAGGATTTGGGGTGTCTGGGATTCGGGGCTGTCCTAGATTTTGGGGTGCCCCATATTTTGGGGTGCCCCCTCACGCTGCCGCCCCAGGGGACACCCACCGCGGTGCCTACACCGCCTTCATGAAATCCCACCGCTGCTACGACCTGATCCCCACCAGCTCCAAACTGGTCGTCTTCGACACGTCCCTGCAGGTGTGCCAGGGCCGGGGGGGCACTTTTGGGGCCAGGGAGGCGCTTTTATGGCTCCCTGACACCCGTGCCTGCAGGTGAAGAAGGCGTTCTTCGCGCTGGTCACCAACGGTGTCCGGGCAGCCCCGCTCTGGGACAGCAAAAAGCAAAGTTTTGTGGGTGAGTGAAGAAGGGGATGGGGGTCTCTGGGGGCAGAGGGGGCTGGCAGGACCCTCCTCACCCTGCCTGCCCCCCAGGAATGCTGACCATCACCGACTTCATCAACATCCTGCACCGCTACTACAAGTCKCCCATGGTGAGGGCTGGGGTCTTTGGAGGGGGCTCAGGTGAGGCTCTGCCCACCCCACCTGACTCTGAATTTCTCCTCTTCCTCACAGGTGCAGATCTATGAGCTGGAGGAACATAAAATAGAGACGTGGAGAGGTGAGGGGGATCGCTGACAGCTGCCTCTTGTCCTTCCTGGTGTGCCCAGAGCCCCCTGGCACTGCCCCCTGCCCACCCACTCCCCTCATTCCCCCCTCTCCCCACAGAGGTTTATCTGCAAGACTCTTTCAAGCCGTTGGTCTGCATTTCCCCCAATGCCAGGTACCCTGGGGGGCAGGGAGAGGGGCACAGCTGGTGGTGGCACTCCTGGGAACACCCCAAATCCCTCCTCCATTCTGCCCCACAGCCTGTTCGACGCCGTCTCCTCCCTGATCCGGAACAAGATCCATCGGCTGCCCGTCATCGACCCCGACTCGGGGAACACGCTCTACATCCTCACCCACAAACGCATCCTCAAGTTCCTTAAGCTCTTTGTGAGTTTCTGCCTTTTGGTGATGGTGGGGGTCAGACCAGGACCCTCAGCCTGGGCTATGCCAGGTCCCTGTGCCAAGTGCCACACTGAGCCACTCAGCCTGGGCTGTGCCAGAGGCCACCCTGAGACTCCCAGGCTGTGCCCAAGGTTGCCCCCAGACCCCAATTCTGGGCTGTGCCAGAGGCCACCCTGAGACTCCCAGGCTGTGCTAGAAATTGCCCCAGAACCCTCATCCTGACCTGTGCCAGCTTGCTGTGCCAGGTACTACCCTAGGATTCCCAGTCCAGGCTGTCCCAAGTCCCACCCCAAGACTGCCAGCCTGGGCTGTGCCAKGGGCTGCCCTGAGACCCCCATCTCAGGCCATGTCAAAGGCTGCCCCAAAACCTTTTGTCCAGGCTGTTCCAGGGGCCTTTCTGAGACTCTCAACCTGTCCCAGGTACCACCAGCTCTGGGTGCAGGGTGGGCACAGCTCTGGTACCTTGCCACCCATTGCAGGTGCTGGGGGACCTCCAGGACACTGCGTGGACTGTCCCCCTCACCCCCCCTGCTCTGCACCCCAGCTCTCACCCCCAGCAACCCCAGGGCTCAGCACTGTTCCCTTGCAGATCTCAGAGGTCCCCAAACCCGAGTTCATGGCACGGACGTTGGCAGAGCTGCAGATTGGCACCTACAGCAACATCGCYGTGGTTGGCACCAGCACCCCCATCTACGTGGCCCTGGGCATCTTCGTGCAGCACCGCGTCTCTGCGCTGCCCGTGGTCGATGACTCYGGTAAGGATGTCCTGTCCTCGCTTTGGCTGTCCCCAAGACACCTCCTTGTGGGGGTTGTGTCCCCTCCGGAGCGCTGGGGACCTGGCTGAGCTGGTCCCCTCCCTCCCTCCCCAGGGCGGGTGGTGGACATCTACTCCAAATTCGACGTTATTGTGAGTACTGGTGGAGGAAACTCCTGGGCATGGGGGATGYTGTGGGGTGGTGGGGGTTCCCTAGTCCCGGCTGTGTCCCCAATGCCTGTCCCTGCCCCAGAACCTGGCAGCTGAGAAGACCTACAACAACCTGGATGTGACGGTGACGCGGGCGCTGCAGCACCGCTCCCACTACTTCGAGGGYGTCCTCAAGTGTTACAAGCACGAGACGCTGGAAACCATCATCAACCGCCTGGTGGAGGCCGAGGTAACTGTCCTGGGGTGCTGGGGGATCGGGGTGAGGGGGGCCGGGGTCCCTGCACCCCCTCAGCTCCTCTCTGTGTCCCCCTTCCTCAGGTCCACCGGCTGGTGGTGGTGGATGAGAGCGATGTGGTGAAAGGGATCGTCTCCCTCTCGGACATCCTGCAAGCCCTGGTTCTCCCACAGGGCCCTTGAGGCAGTGGGGAGGGGGGGGTTCAGCCCCTCCAAGCCCCCCACTCTCCTCTCCTGCTACACTGTGCCCCCCCAGGCTGGTGGGACACCCCGGGGYGTGCCCCCACTCACCAGCAGCGTCCAGCAATAACCCCCAGCCCTGGGGCAGCCTCTGCCGCCCTTCCCTGGGTGAGGGGAGCCTGCGGCCCCCCCACGCCGTGCCCTGCGCCCCAAAACCGTGTGGGGTGATTTGGGGCACCCCTCGACCCATCTTGGGGTGCTGGGCCAGGGTCACCCACATCCGTGCCAGGGCTGTTCCTGTGCGGACCCTCGTCCCCATCACCCCGCACCCTCTCCCACGGGGTTTCACTGGGTTTGGTGAAACCCACTCAGCTCCATCTGGCCCGGGGACCCCCCAACACTCCCGGGGGTTTCCCCCCAGGTCCCCCCGGCTGTGCCCACACCCGCCACYGCTTCGTGTGTGGAGAGAAACCACRAATAAACACAGACCTGGCACCACCCTGGCTCAGTGCAGGGCACGGGGAGCACGGGCTAGGGAGGGGGTGCATGGGGAGGGGGTGTGACCCCCCGCGGGATGGGGGAATCTGCTGAGCTCACCCAGACCCTAAATCCCTGTTTGTTCCGCCTGTGGCTTTTCTAAAAGGCCRGGATTGGGGATGGGACAGAGATGGGGACCTGGCGGGACATGGGGACTCTCCGGTGGGCACCACGGTGAGCTGGGGGTGTCGAGCAGGGGCTGGGGGAGATTTTGGGGGACAGCTGGATGTCAGGGCACCCTGGGGGGCTGGCGGGGGTCGCGGGCAGCTGTGCCACCGCCGCCGGGGTTTGCAGCCGGTGCCCACAGGGGAGGYTCAGGGCCCGGCCGTGCTGAGCGAGGCACATTCCTGGCAGGGAGGGGAAGGCCAGGCTGGGGGCCCTGTCCCTACCAGCCCCGGGGTCCGGCAGAGGCTGCGGAGCGAGGTGAGAGCCGGGCAGGTACCGGGGGGCCCGGGGGGGCTCGGGGGGGGCCGTGCCGGTTGCCATGCCGCCGCCGGAGGGTTGCTAAGCTCCGCTCGGAGCCCGCGTGGGCTGCAGCGCTCGGTGCCAAACCCGCCATCTCCTGCTTGTCGCAAGGGGGGGAAGGGATCCCGCGGGGGGTGTGTGGTGGGGGGGGACACACGCACGCGACACGACACCCCTGGGACGGCCGGTAGGGTCCCCGCGGTGCGCCGGCCGCCCGGGGGTCACCGTGCCCGGCGGTGGCACCGGGCGGGACACGGGGGTCCCGGGGACACACGTGCGGCAGGTGGGTGTGCGTGGGCGGGCGCGTGGCTCCGCCGAGGCTCCGGTGAGCCCCCCGAGGCGGGGGGACCCCTCTTCACCGGGGCCATGCTGGGGGGTCCCGAGAGGGGTGCGGGGCGCCTGCGAATCTGCGAGCGGACCAAGCTGGTGCTGGTGGAGATCGACACGGTGGCGTGTTGCAGCGCGGGCACCGGCATGGCCGCGGGGTGCCGGCCCGAGCCCCCCTGGACCTACCGCCGCATCGCCGGGGAGTACGCGTGAGTGGGGCCGGCGGGGTGGGGGGTGTGGGGGGTCCGTCCCTCTGCCCGGCCCTCGCATCCCTCACTCCCCCTCTCTGTCTTGCAGGTACCTGGAGAAGCGCTTTGTGGCCGAGCTGGCCCCGCCCTGGCCCCCGGTGCCCCCCACTCCCCCCTGTCGCCTGCAGGACTTCGCCGCYCGGCCCCGGGTGCCCCCCAACCCCTGCCCCCCACGACAGCCCGAAGGGACGGGGGGCAGTGGGCCCTGGAGGGGGCTCCCYGTGCCTGCACCCCGGCCCTCAGTGTCGGGGGACAAGCTGGTCCCTCCCACCTACGAGGTCCACATGCAGCGGGTGCAGGCGGCCCACGCCCGCCGCGGGGGACCCCCACCTTACATCTCCCCCCCTGCYTACGACGGTCCCCACCGCACCCTGCAGCTCCGCCCCCTGCGAGGACCCCGCAGCCCCCCGCCGGCATCCCGRACCCGGGCCGCCGTACCGGGGGGCTGGTGGAGCCACACGCTGCCCCGGGCGGCCACCGAGGCCAAGCACCGCTGGCCCCGCGGGATGCAGCCGTCCCCGGCGGGGCCCGGCACCCCCCGGCACTGCCAGACGCTGCCACGGGCTGCGGCCGGCCGGGAGCGGGTGCCGGGACGCGGGAGGGGACGGCGGGGGACGGGGGGACACGTCCTCATTGAYGCCACCCGCGTGGTGGTCCGAGCCCAGTACGTGCCGCCCCCGCAGCGCCAGCAGGTCCGCTATGCCAGGGGGTCCCCGGGGCCCGACACCCCTCCTCGCAGCCCTTCCGTGCCCCCCGGCGTTGTCAGCCCCTCCGCCGCGCCCTCGCCTTCCCGGGAGCCTGCCGGCAGCCCCCGCAGCCCGTGGCGGAGCCCGGGGGGCTGCAGGGGTCCCCGGGGGCGGCCCCCGCCGCGGCGGCCGGTGCTGTACGCTCAGGCGCTCCGCGAAGCCGTGTCCCGCATCCGCCGGCACACGGCGCCCGACTCCGACTCGGAGGCCGAGGGGAGCGTGGGGGGGTCCCGGCAGCGGCTCTGCCGAGACCCCCGCGCCTACAGCAGCAGCAGCAGCAGCCTGGAGAGCACCGGGGCACCCCCGGGTCCCGCCAGCCCCACCCCCGCCTGAGGAATGGGGCTCGCCGGGGTGTGGCACGTCTGGGGCGGGGTTTGCAGGGGTGTGGTTCTCAGGGGCGGGGCTTGGCGGGTCGTGGGCTTGGGGGCGGGGCTCAGGACAGCGGTTCCCACGGGCTGACCCCAATAAAGGCTCCGGGATCCCGGTGTGCTGCCTCCGCCCCTGTTTGTGTGAGGTCGGGGGGGGAGGGGGCATCACCCCCTCAGGCCTCCCTGTGGCCCCCCCACCCACCCCGGCCAGGACACAGGTGACAATCCCGGTGTCCCGATCCCTCCCTCGTTACGGTACCGGGGTCAGGCGGAGGTCCCGGGCGTCCCGGCGGGCACCACAGTGCGTCACAACACGGATGGGACGTGCCAGCTTCCCCCGTATCCCCCATAATGAGTAGGTGAGCGCAGCAGGTCTGGCCCTCGGCCACCCTCCCCACGTCACGGCCGGGGGGGGACCCCGAGTGACTCACCGGGGGGGAAAAATGTCCCCCCCCGAGCAGCCGCCACCTCTTAGTCACGCTGCGGGGGGGTGGGGGAGGATCCCCGCGGCCCCAGGAAACCGCACAAATATCGTGTCCAATTTGCACGTTATTTAAAACCGGCTCCTCCCCCGCCCCCCTGCGCGACCCTGTCATTATCCCGGTGACACCGGCCCGGAGGTCACGGCACGGGGCAGCTGCCGCGGCAAGGGGCACCCGGGTGGCTGGGGAAGGGGGCACCCCCGGGGCCACGTCACCCCTTGTGTCCCCTGTCCTGGGGCGTGGCCAGGATGGCACCAAAGTGTCCCACCTGGGTTTGACCTGAGGCACAACGCCAACCGCAGCCCACCGTGGCACAGCTGTTCTCCTGGCACGGCTTGGCATGGCCTGGCACGCCATAGGTTGGTTGGCAAGGTGTGGTACACCTTGGTTTGTCATGGATTGTCATGGCACGGTTCAGCCTGGCACAGCTTGGCACAGTTTGGCACATGGCTTAGTATAGCCCAGCACATCTTTCATAGCTTAGTATAGCCTGGCACAGCTTGGCACGGCTTGGCACGGGTCAGATTGTCACAGCAGCCTGGCACGGCTTGGCAAAGCCCAGAACAGCCAAGCACAACTCAGCAGCCTTGGCATGGCAAAGGACAGCTCGTCAAAGCTCAGAGCGGCCCAGAACAGCTCGGTGCAGTCTGGCAGAGCTTGGCACAGCCTGATGCCACCTGACATGGCCCAGCACGGCTCGGCACAGCCCAGAACAGCTCGGCACAGCCTTTTTGGCACAGCTCATCACAGCTTGGCACATCTTAGCACAGCCTAATTTACCCTGGCATGGCTCAGCTTGGCACACACAGCATGGCACGGCTGGACACAGCCTCACAAAGTGCAGAACAGCCCAGAACGGGTCATTGCAGCTGGCACGGCTCAGCACCTCTTGGCACAGGCYGGTAGAGCCTGGCACGGCTCAGCACAGCCTGGCACAACTCAGCACAGCGCGTCACTCCTCGGCTCGGCGTGCTGCCCGGCGTGGCGCGGGGTGTCCCAGACGCGGGGGCAGCGGCGCGGCCCTTCCCGTGGCATCAGCTCCTGCCCAAACCCGCTCCCCGCCGGGAAAATCACCTTCTAATTCGGGCTGCGCCGGYGCCAGCACCTTCCCCCGGCACCCCCGGGCTACCGGCCGGCCCCCGAAACTCGCCCAGCYTGGGGTCTCCCGGGTCCAGGGGGTGCTCAGCCCGTGGCGGTGCCAATCTGTGGGACCGGAGAGTCCCGCCCGGTACCGGGGACCCCGGACAGGGTCGCGTTGTCGCCTGTGTCCGCCAGATGTCGCCGCGCAGCCGGTGACCGATCGCCCCGGGGGGCACCGGGGGTCCTGCCCCGGTGAGAGGTACGGGTGTCCCCAAACAACCGCGACCCACGGGTGTCATCCGTGCCGGTGCTGTCTGAGAGTCGCGGCAGCCCTGTGTGTCACCGGTGACAGCGGTGTCCCCAAGCGAGCTGCGGTCCTCGTGTGTCACCGGTGATGTCCCCAGGGAGCTGTGACCCTCGTGTGTCAACGGTGACAGCGGTGTCCCCAGACGGCTGTGTCCGTCTGTGTGCCAGTGCTGGCTGTGGTCCCARAGAGCCGTGACCCACATGTGTCATGGGTGCTGGTGGCGTCTGAGAGCCACGACCCTGGTGTGTCACTGGTGACAGTGATGTCACCAGAGAGCTGTGTCCATGTATGTGCTGATGCTGATGCTGTCCCCTTGCGTGTCACTGGTGCTAACTAGTGTGCTCAGAGAGCCGTGAYTCTCATGTGTCACTGGTGCTGGCCATGTCCCAAAGGAGCCATGTCCATGTATGTGCCAGCGCTGGCGGTGTCCCAGACAGCTGTGACCTCCGTGTGTCACTGGTGACAGCGGTGTCCCCAGAGATCTGTGTCCATGTATGGGCTGGCAGTGGCAGTGTCCCCGCAGAACCACGACCCACATGTCCCGCTGGCACTGACCATGCCACACCACACGTGTGCCAGCAGCACTGCCCGTGTCCCCACAGCGCGGTGTCACCGTGTCACACACGGTGCCAGCCAYGCCACGCTCCTGCCCATCCACATGCCACCGTCCCCAGCGTGTCCCCGCATCCCAGTGGTCCTGCCCGCGGTGCTGGCTCTCCCAGGCCGCGCGAGGAGCCGGTGGGAAGGGTCCGGTGAATGCGGCATTGTTGCGCGGGGTTGGAGTCACAGATAATTACCTCAATTAGTTACAATGGCAGAGTAATAAATACAGGCTTAGCGGCTCCTTCCCCACTGCGGCTTCTCAGATTAATCCAGCCCGGGCGAGCGGAGCTGAAAGGATTGATGGACAATTCATTAAACCCGCCGAATGCCGCACAAGGCACCCGTGAAGGCCGGCGTTAGCCCCCGGCGGCTCCGCTTTGTCCCTAATTGTTCGTCTCGGGCATTGGTCACCTATCAGGGAGTGGGTGACGGCGACGGTCCCCCCGGGGCTGGCATGCCCGGGGATTAGAGGCCAGCGCTGCCACCGTTGCTGGGCGCGTTGGCCCCGCGCCGGAGGAATGCGGCGGATGGGAGGGGGCGGCCGGACAAGCCGGGAGCTGGCGGGACGTGGGTCCGCATCGACCGGAGGCGAGGGGAGCCGGGAACGGGGCTGTGCCACTGGCGATGGTGACAGCGGATGGGATGGAATGGGATGGGGACGGTCCCGCAGGTGGAATGGGGCAACCTGAGAGTCTGGGCAGGTGGGCAGAGCTCTGTCTGTCTGTCCTGCACCTCTGGGTACTACCCTGTCCCTCTCTCCTGCATTTCTGGGAATGACACAATTCCTCCGTCCTGCACCTCTGGGCACTGTCCTGTCCTGTGCTGCACCTCTGGGAATGACACAATTCCTCTATCCTGCACCTTTGGGCACTGTCCTGTCCTTCTATCCTGAACCTCTGGGAATGACGAAATTCCTCTATCCTGCACCTCTGGGCACTGTCCTGTTCTGCACCTCTGGGAATGACACAATTCCTCCGTCCTGCACCTTTGGGCACTGTCCTGTCCTTCTATCCTGCACCTCTGGGAATGACACAATTCCTCTATCCTGCACCTTTGGGCACTGTCCTGTCCTTCTATCCTGCACCTCTGGGAATGACACAATTCCTCTATCCTGCACCTTTGGGCACTGTCCTGCACCTCTGGGAATGACACAATTCCTTCGTCCTGCACCTCTGAGAATGATTCTAACCCTCCGTCCTGCACCTCTGGGCATGGCTTTGCCCCTCTGTCCTGCACCTCTGTATGTCATTCTGTCCTTCTGTCCCACACTTCTGCCTACTGTCCTGTCCCAGTGTCCTGCATTTCTGGGAATGACACCATCCGTCTGTCCTGGAATGACACCCTGTCCCTCTGTCCCGTACTCCGATGTGTCATCCTGTCTCTCTGTCCCATACCCCCGGGCAGAGCCCCCCTCCATCCCATCCCTGAGGGGGGTTGTCCCAGTTGTCATCAAGCCCAGCTTGTGGCCACCATCCAGCTGTCACCCGGCTTCCCAGATGTGACAGGCTGGTGCGGGATGGGACCGCCCTGTCCCTCTCCCTGTCCCGGTTGTCCCTTTCCTGGCTCACAGCGGCTATTTCCAGCACCCAGGAATATTTGTCCAAGCCGGGGAGGTCTGTGCCCCGTGCCCGGGGTGCCCCTGCCCACCCGGGGGTCGCGGCTGCCCGAGGTGCCCAGCAGGACACTCAGGAAAAGCTGAGTAACAGAGGTGACTTATAAGAATGTCATTATCTATATTCCTGACTCCTACCGCAGGAAAACAGGCTATTTTCATGCCGGAGCAGGAGCAGAATTTAGCAGGCAGATAACCCGGCAGGCGGGAGATGCTCGGAGGGTTATTTCGGGCTGTGTTCCTTTCCAGGCGTTTTCCTCGCATTTTGGTATTTTATTCTCCACGCTGGGCTGTGTTTTGACCTTGGCGCGGGCAGCGGGGGCCCCCAGGGTGTTTTTCCCCCCCTCCTCTGCGTCTAAACATCAACTTTTCCACTATCGGCTCCGCGGGATATTTCGGGTGGTGGCAGCGTCATCCCACAGCCTTTGATGCGGCAGAGCCCCAGGGGCCCCGAGAGGTTCCCGGCTCCGGGAGGGGTGCCCAGGCTGTGGGGAGCCCTGTGACAGGTGGGCACCAGGCTGGGCATCCCCCAGACGCAGAAATGGAGTTTTTGAAGTGAAAATCACGGTGAAGGGGGGACATGTGGACACTGTGCCCACCCCAGGGGTGGCTGTCACACACGAGGGATGCCCACTTTGGTGGGAAACCCATCCCAGTGGGATACTTGACCCAGAAAGATGCCCATTCTGGGGATATGCYCACCCCTGTGGGATGCTTATTCCAGGGAAAAACCGTCTCAGGGCATGTCCTGCATGCAGAATTCCCATCCCTGTGGGGTTCCCACTCCGGTGGGAGGACTGTCCCAAGAGGATGCCCATTCTGGTGGGATGCCCATTCCCGAGAGATGCCCATTCTGGTCCCAGAGAGATGCCCATCCCGAGGGGATAGCCATGCCAGCAGAACACCTGCCAACCACGGAGCTGCACCCCACCTCTGTCACAGCCTTTCTCCGGCTGTGCTCAGACCCCACGCATGGTTTTGGGGCTGTTYATGGGGCCAGTGGCCATCCCTGTCCCCTCTGGCCCCTGCCCCTGTAACCCCGGTGCCCTCCCCGGCCCCCCTTTTCCCCCGGAGCCAAGGGGAGCCGTCAGCCCCGGCCGGGAGCGGTGATGGACGATGCTCATTCCCTGTCTGTCGTCTTGTCCCTCCCGGGGCCGCTCCCAACTCCCGGCCTCGGCGGCACCAGCCCCACCGCCCCGGCGAATTCCAGCGTCGGAGATGCCGCAGTCAAGGTGCCATGGTGATGGGCGCTGAAGCCGTGGGGATGGACGTCCCGGCCGGGAGCGGCGGCAGGAATGGCTGGGATGGAGACGGGCACAGCGGGGGAAAAGAGGGGGTCTGCGGGGAGGGGATGGCAGAGAGCGGAGGGAAGGAGGAAAAAGATGGACAGACAGCAGTTGGGAGGGTTGATGGACGTGGAATGGGGAGGTGAGGGGATGGAGAGGTGATGGATGGACAGAWRGACATGGGCAGCGCATCCCACAGTTTGGGAGACATCGGTGTCCTCCCACAGCTCATCCCCTACACCCCCAGCCCCCCCAGACACGAATTGGGACAGGACTGATAAAAATATATTCTTTATTCTTTTCTAAAAGCTATCTCTGACACCTGTAACAAAGCATCATTATTATTAATTATTATTAATTATTATTATTATCTTTAATTACAAAAAAAAACAGGGCCTGGGGCCAGCGTAGCAGGGTGGGAGCGGCGGCAAAAAAGCCGTCCACAATAAATATTTTATTTACAGCGAGAAGGGACCCCGTGGAGCCGGGGGATGGCCGGGAAGGTGTGCGTGGCACTGARCCCACCCACGGCGGGATGAGGGTCCCTAGGACACATCCATACCCCCACCCATGGGCGCCTTCAATCCAGCCGGGCACCCGTCATGGGGGGTTTGGTGGCTCGGACCCCCTCCGGGGCTGGGCAGGGTGGTCCCGGCGCAGGTCACAGACACTCGTGCAGCACCTGGGTGTTGGTGCAGTTGAGGCAGCTGACGTGGCAGCACCAGTGGAAGGTGCAGTTGCAGCGCTCGGTGACGCGCTGGGTGCGTGTGCGGTACCCGCGCCCGCAGCACAGCAGCTCGCACCCGTCCAGCCCCGGCGAGGAACTGTTGCAAAACCTCCCCGCCGTGCCCGCCGTGCCCGTCTTCCCGCTGTAGGTGCAGAAATTGGGGGATTTCTCGAAGTACACGAGGTCGTGGGGCGAGGGGGGTTTGTGGGCCGGGTTCTCGGGTTCCAAGTGGTGCAGCTCCACCCGCGATGCACGGTTGCTGCCTTTGTTGCCGTAGATGACACGGGAAGCGCCGTCGAAGCGATCTTTCAAGACGTCGCCCACGGCGCGGAAGGTGGGCAGCCGCATCCAGCAGGTGCGGACGGTGCAGGAGCCCGACATGCCGTGGCACTTGCACTCCTGGCGCATCTCCGAGAAGACCGTCTGCRAGGAAAAGGGAATTTGGGGTCTCGTGAGCAGCCTGGGACCCACCTGGGGACCACCGTGCTCCTACACCCCTCTTTTCTGCAGCATCACATCACACTCAGACATCACTTGTCCCAAAGATGAGTGTAAAACCCATYTCAAACAGTTCCCAACCCACACATGGGAACAGGGTGAGGGTCTTGATGGTTGTGCACATCTCCATGCGCCCACCCCAGTGGCCTCACCAAGCCCCCAGTGCCCTCACCATTCTCCCCCAATGCCCTCACCATTCTCCCCCAGTGGCCTCACCAAGCCCCCAGTGGCCTCACCAAGCCCCCCAGTGTCCTCACCATGCGCCCGGCCTCATTGTTGTGCAGGTTCATGAGGAACCGCAGATCTCGGCCCTTCTCACTCGAGTCCACAAACTCCCTCCCGAAGAGGCGACCGAAGTCGATGTTGTCACTGCAGCCCCCCCAGTGCCAGTCGGGMCCCCCAGGGCCACGGCGCCGATAATCGCAGGTGCAGGATTCAATGGACCCCTCTGAGCACGACCGGGCCACCGAGTGCGTCACGCCGGCGCTGGTGATGGCAAAGATGAATGCCGTCTCCCGGCAGCCTGTGGAGGAGAGCGAGGCCTCAGGATGCTGCCAGGATGGGGAGGGGGTACCCACCAGCACCCCCAACCCTCCACCACGATGTGCTGGTGATGCCCCATGGCAAAGCAGGGGCGCTTTGCTGAACATCCCAACTCGGGGGTGCATGAAGGGGGTCTGGGGTCCCTTGCGCTGCCCCCCAGGCTCACCCCGGTTGACGATTTTGCCGAAAATGTTGGGGCCCTGGGAGGTGGGACAGTTCCAGCGGCGGTTGCGGAACTGCCACTTGCACTCCTTGATGGCTGTCTGGAGGCCGGAGCTGACGCTGTGCAGGATGCCGGGGTTCTGCCGGATCAGCTTGCGCTGCTTTCGGCTCAGCAGCTGCAGGCTGGGGTCCAGCACYAACTGCACGTTCTTGGAGTCCGTCAGCAGGTTGGTGGACGAGGCCACGTTGATGATGCCCCTGTGGCACAGGTGGGGATGGTGACCGCMGGTGGGGATGGTGACAGCAGGTGGAGAGTCCCCAGCACCTCCCTCCTCACCTCAACCTCCCTGCAGGCTCCTCGGTGTGACCAGAGCATCTTCCTCCCTGCTAWCCCAACCGGGGATCGCAGCCCCGTGTCCCCCTGTGCCCCATCCCTGGGTACAGGGCACTCTCTGCCGTGTCCGTGCCAGCCCCGCCCTCCCGCCCCGCCACCCCGGTGCCGGTACCGGTGCCGGTGCCGTCCGACTCACCACCACCGCCCGCTGTTGTTCACTGCCAGCGTGTTGGAGAGGGAAGAGAGGGCCAGAGCCCAGAGTGCCCGGAGCGCCAGCCCCAGCGCGGCGGCGCGCATGGCTCCGGCCCCGGGAGCCCCGGCAGAGTGCGCGGGCGAGCGGCCGTCCCGGTATTTATGGTGCCGCAGAGCCCCCGACCCGGCCGCTACATCCACGCGTGTTTCCGGACGCGCGGGGCGGCTCCGAGATCAGGACGGCCGCGAGGGGACCCGGGGAGCGCCGGGCGGGCGGGCGGGCCGGCACCGCCGCCGCCACCGGGCTGCAGCCGGTGGCCGGGGCGCGGCGTCGGGGGTGCGGTGCCCAGCGCACACTGACCGGGCCCTGGAGCGCGGCGTCGGGCGCTCCGTTCGCGGTGCCGGTGCTGGGGACCCGGTGCTCTGCGCCCCGTGCTCGGCACTCTGTGCGCGGTACCCGGTGTCGGTACCGGTGCTGGCTCTCGGCGGTCCGTGCGCGGTACCCGGTGCCGGTGCTCGGTACGGGCAGCTCCCCGGGGAGCCGGCACGGCTGGACTCGGCTCGGCGCGGCGGGTGCGCAGCGTTCAGCACCCGGGAGCATCTTCCAGCCCCTTCCCTCTTATAGGGGCGGCGCGGAGGGTCCCCGTGGGCCGGTCCCGCCGCGCGGGGCCTCCCCGCGTCCTCGCCCTAACAATGGGGAGCGGCGGAGCTGCGGCACCTCTTACGGGGCGGCGGGAGCGGCGGCGCCGGGGCTGTCCGTCACGGCCCGGATTAGCTCGGCGGGTGGCTCGGTGTCCCGGCCCCGTGCCCAGAGCTCCCGGCTGCCGCCCCCCGCCTTCCCCGCCGTCCCGCGCACACGTYCTACAGGCACCGGCACCGGCGGGGGAAGCCCGGCACGGCCCGTGACAGTTCCCGGCGCAAGGAGGAGCTGGTCCCGGAATAACTTGGGATGGCCCCGGACCGCTCCGGGGCGCACGGAGGGAGCGGGGAACGGGGATAGCCCGGGATGTCCCGGGACAGCCCAGGGTGTACAGGGGCAGGAGTGACAGGATCTCCCGGGACAGCCCCGGGCGCACGGGGSAGGCAGAGTTCCGTGACAACGCACGGCGCACGGGGACCACAGTCCCGGGAAAGCCCGGGGACACCGTCCCGGGGCCAATGGGGGACACGGCGTGCAGAGGCTGCGTCGGTGCCAGTCCGGAGCCCACGAAACCCTCTCCCGTCCTGGTCCGTGCCCGGCGGGGCGGGGTGACAGCCTCTTCCAGCCCGGGCTGTCCCGGTGGCACCCCGGCACCCCGTGAAGGTACCCGTGGGCACCCACGGTGTCTACAACCCCCGTGAGCGCGGCACGGCCCCGCACGGCTCCCGCTGCTCCGGCGCGCCCGGTCTGGGCCGGTACCGGGTGTCGGAGGTAGGGATGGACCCGGGGGTGGAGGGATTGTGGGATGGGGACATAGACGGAAAGGCAGAGGGTGCTCGGACGTGCCCGTGGCCAGAACACGGACACGCAGGGCCGATGCTGGCCCGGTCTCGGTTGGGACAAGATTCTGCTTCTCTCATCGCCCTCCCTGGCCGGGTGTGGGTGGGTGTGAAGTCCCCAGTGCGGAGCCCGACGGGACGGGGGGCCTGAGCTGAGCCCCCCGTTGGGGCGGGGACCGGGGGGGGGTAATCCCCCTGCCGCGGTTTCCCCGGACCAGTCATGCGGGGCCGGATTAGCCCCGCTCTCCCGTCACGGCCCGGGGCCGCMGCTCACCAGTTCAATTCAAGGGCGGACAAAGCCCGGGACGGCGGCGGGGTTGGGGGGGTCKCACCGGCACCCACCCGCACCCCTTCCCCCGGCCCGGGAGGAGCCCAGGGCCGAGCCGGGGTCTGCTCCAGCACGGCGCTCCCGCCTCCCCCGCCCCGGTTCCCGGCCGGGCCGGGCCGTGTCCACGCCCTCGGGCCTCCGCCCCGTCGGGGCTCCCGGGGCTGAGGTCAGCGGCCGCGGGGAGGCCCCGGGGCGCGGCTGGGAGGGCCCTGCCCGGGGCTGTGCCACCAGCGGCGGGACGCAACCACGGCCCTCGCCTCCCCCGCTCCATCCCGGGACCCTCCGGTCCTCGCACCCCTCRCCCGCTGCCCCGAGACCCCGTTCCCCCATCCCCTCTGCTGCAGCCGACGGYGGCCCCTCTGCTCGGGATCCCAGGGTGTCGGTGGAACCGTTCCCGCAGCTGTCAGGGCGGCCGGTGCTGCTCGGTGCCCTCGGGGTGGCCGCCGGTACCTGCCTGGGGGCGAGGGGGCATCCATCCTGTCCCGTCGCACCGAGGCAGGGACGGACAGACGGATAACGGGGACCGACGGACGTGGGAAGCACGGGAGGTCTCCCGCTCCCGCTCCCCATCTCCTGCCCTTCCCGCGAGGGTCGGGACGTCCTCGGTACCGACGGTACCGGGACRGTGCGGGGGTGCTCAGCCTGTCCCTCCGTGAGGGTGTTGGGGTCCCGGCCGGGTCAGGACCCCCCCGCGCCCCGGTCACGACTCTGCCTCCCCGTTACTCAATCCGGGGGCGGGGCCGAAAAAACCGGGACCCCCCTATCCCCACATCCTCATCGTGCAGCCCCCCCTTGGGACGAGGCTCTGCCCCCCGCCCCCGGTACGGGTCCCGGTGCCCCCGGTGCGGGTCCCGGTGCCCCCGGGGTTTGGGGGGGGGACACACACACACGGGGACACCCCCTCACACCGTCCCGTCCCCCCCCCCGCACTGCTGCAGCCGTT